AGTCATAGGTAATTTAGTTTGAATAAAAGTTTTAGAGGAACTTCTTTTGTCTATAGTTGGGTCTAAAACCCCATTCCAGTCACCCATCAAAATTACCGATTTATAATCCAACTGAGATATCTTGCCATGCAGCAACTTATAAAATTGTTTCTGTTGTTGATTGGGAGCATATAGTCCAACAATAAGAACCTTTCGGCCTTGTAATAATAATTCCACAAAAAGATATCTTCCTTCAGAATCAGCCTCAATTAGTTTAGCTGAAAAAGTTTTCTTCACATAAATTACCACTCCCCCTTTTTTCCCAGGGGCTGGAGCAGTAAAATGTGTGCCCAGACGGGAATTCATCAAAAATTTAGAATCCTTTAAAGTTATATGAGTCTCCTGCAAACATATCAAATCATTATTATGTTGTTTCAAATAATGGAAAATCTTTCTTCGTTTCTGGGGCACGTTTAAGCCATTAACATTCCAGGTCAGGAACCTGACCATCTCCACCGGCCTGGAGCCTCTGGAGCATGGCCTGCAGATCTGCTGTCGAAGATCTTTTTGGTCTTGCCCCTCCCACAGGCTCTGTAACAACCAAACTTTCACCACTCTTCTGCAACTGCTCTTTTTCTTTACGTTTATGGGCAGCTCGTGTCATCCTTTGCTCTTTTATGTCAGAATTCGGTGCAGCTTGTTCCATAACCATCATTGATGAGGCTCCTGCCATAAGAGACTCTTCCGTCATCCTTATTTGTGGAGGTGGTGACAATCTTGCTTTTAAGATAGACTGATAAAAATCTCTTGCTTTGGAAACAGTAGTTAATCTGTGACGTATCCCTTCATAATTTACTATTATTCCTCTTGGAATCTCCCATCTGAACTGAATTTGACGATGTTTCAACTCATCAGACAAGAAAGTAAAATCTTTTCTGGCTCTTAAAATTTTTGGAGGTATCTCTTTTAAAATTATCACGTCTTGATCAGCAATTTGAAACTTTTGTTTGTAAAAAGCCTGTATAATTTCATTACGGATAGATCTTCTAGAAAAATAAATAACCACATCTCTTGGTAGATTTCTCTGTCTAGCAACCCGTGAATTAACTCTAAAAAATTTTTCTATCTCATTCTCAATTATTTCAGGCCGCCAACCAATATTAGGAGCAATATCTTTCACAATAAGCATCTTTAAGTCTTCCTGAGGGTTCTCCCTCAGGCCTCTGATACGCAATGCGTGTTCCATCTCCCTATATTGTGAAATGATTTGTTCATCCTGTGTAATTTCTATCTTGTTCTCTACCTCCTGCATTCTAAATTCCATCCTTGATGCATTTTCAGTAATCTTTTCCATCTGGTCATCAATCCTTTCTATGTGCAGGGCTAGGCCCTGAAAGGCCAGAAGGATATGGTCTCTTACTTGTTTATTCTTTTTCTCCAATAATTCTTCTGTATTAGCCCTCTCTGCAATTATAAGATCTTTTACCTCCTCCTTAATATCCAAGGCATGCTGTTTTAAAGCATCTTGTAAATCATTAAGAGAAATTGCAGGAGGAGGAGGAGAAGGTGGAGGTGATTTTGGTTTCTGAGATGCAGGCTGAGGCATTGGAGAAGAAATAGGAACCTTAGGGGCGGGAGGCAGACGTTTTGAAGCCATTTTCTTAAGTTCCAAGAAGAAAGATTCTTATTGAAAAAAAAAAAGGGCACAGTTCTTTTAAGTGTTCTTAAAAAAAAGAGAAAAAAAAATAGAGAAAAAAAGAGGAAAGAATAAAAGCCAAATTCTTACTTCTGTATTTAAAGAGTTAATCTGTATCCAGGTTTTACTCTGTAATGCAAATCAGGCAAGAAAGACAATCGCCATTTTAGTTTTCACTTTCCCTTTCTTCTAAAGGGAAAGTGAACAAAAGAAAAGGAAGAGGAAACTTGCTGAAGTTAAAGGCACCATCAAACTTAAGCACAGTCTCTCCTGGTCTGCTCCGTCTGCTTTCAAATACTCACAAGCAGCTGGAAAAAAAAGCAGATGTGGAAGCGGCAACTTGCTTCATCCCAAAAACTTCGGAATGAAGTCTCCCTGGAACGCGGAGTTGCTCAGGCTCCGAGGGAGCTCTACCCTCCGATCCCCAAAATAACAGGAATCCAGGGGAGCTCTTACCTCTACCTGAGAGCTCTCCTCCTCCCTTTTTCCCAGGGAGGAGTTTCAAGCCGCGGGACAGCTGATTGTCAAAGTCCCGCGGCTTTTACACGCACCAGGAACGGGCGGCTTTGTAAAACGCCGCCATTCGTCATCGCTGGAACCACCGGAAGTCCTGATTCACCAGCTCTTTGATCCCTCTGTTCAAACGTGTCTCCACGCAATAACAGACAACTTGGGCTGAAAATGTTCCTTCAATAACTTCTTTAAATCTATGTAAGTGACAGATTCAAGAGGAGCAGGGGCTGCCAAATTTTCTGCAATTTCAAATGCATCTTGACCACAGACACACAGCAAAGTAGCAGCCTTCAAGCCATCCTCTCTAACTTGATTCACTCTAAAGTAATTTTCTACTCTAGCAACATAAGACTCCCATCTTTCTGGGTGAGTAATGTCGAATTCAGACAGTCTCCCTATCTTCGCCATTCTTGCTTCTTACTCTAGGAAAGGGTCTATCAGCCAGCTTACCTCCAGCGATGCTGTACTGGCAGGCCAGGTGCTGAGTTTAACGCCGTCTTCCTCTCTCCAGGACTCTTGGGGTAAGCTTACAAATCTTCTTCTTTGATCTTGTAAGCGATCCCATCCTCGTCGCCGGTGTTGAGTCCTCGAGTCAACGGTGAATGAAGAGCACACATTCTGTAATTCCAACAGCCTTTATTCTCAGTAGTTCTCCCTCCGACACAACTCTGAGGCTCGCAGGCCTCTCTGTCTCCTTTAATAGAATCCCCGGGCAAAAAGGTAACAATCTGGTGCGCTTCCGCGCCTCGCGCATGTGCGCAAAGCCAGCACCACTCAGTCTGGTCCCGGGCAGCTTGCAACAGCCCGGGACCATTGCAACGTGCCGAGCCTGCCTTTGCAGGCTCAGGACACAACAGGAACATTCGCAACTTGGGGATTACCTATACTATAATTCAATGTGCCCTAGCTAATACCGATACATTATCATTGTATTGCTGGGCTATTTATTATTAAGTAAATTTAGCCTGGGTGTATTTTTTAAATGTAAAAATATAGGTAGTCCTGAACTTTAGTGACCATTCAAAGTTGCGTCACTGAAAAAAATGACGTATGATCATTTTTCACACTTATTATCATTGCAGCATTCCCATTGTCATATGATCAAAATTTGAATGCTGGGCAACTGGTTCATATTTATTTACAGTGTTCCGAAGTCATGTGATCACCTTTTGTGATCTTCTGATAAGCAAAATCAACGGGGAAGTCAGATTCGCTTAACAACCCTGTTGCTAACTTAATAAATGCAGTAATTCATTTAACAACTGTGGTAAGAAAGTCATAAAATAGGGCAAAATTCACCTAACAACTGTCTCATTTAGCAATAGAAATTTTGGGTTCAGTTGTGGTCATAAGTCAAGAACTACCTGTATGTCTATTTTCCACATAATTTGTCAGGAACTCTAGAATCGATAGTTAAAATTTGTTGTAAAAAATTTCCCCGTATATACTCCAGAATAAGCTTTATTTAATATTGTGTAGACCACAAAAATATAGCTATGGGGGAAAATGACATTTATGTTTGCTAATGTAATCTTCTTGGAGAAAACTGAACAAAACCATCTTAGGAAATGAAAATTTTGGGCTGATGGTATGCTTTGAATAGGTAGGACTGAAAATATAAATGTTTTTGTTACCATTCTGGAGACCAAGATTTCTGGACAATCGAACTTCCTTTCTTTGAGAAAAAAAATCACAAATATAAATAGAAAGCTTTGGAGATACAGGTGAGGTTTGGTTATTTTATTGATGCTGGTAGATACCATGCTTCTTATCTTCAGAAGTATCTTCAAGAATAAGGAAGTTCATTCTTAGAAATACCTAAAACACCCCAAAGTAATTTAATCTATACTTACAGGACCTAATTATTAGTCTGTTCTCTGTTTTCTGTTTCAAGAATGCTGGTGTTTTAGACTAGAGCCATATACAAGAACTGATGCTACTATACTTAAATAAAACTTTGTTCATAGATATTGATCACAGACACTCCATTAATTTTTAAAACTATTTTAGCAGTTGCAGTATCAAATAAATTATAAAAGTAAAGGAACCGATTGGTGCATTTGGCCATTTGGCTATTTTCATTTGCATACTGAACAGTAGTATTTAAAAGAGTTGCTCTTCTTGCTGTTATGATTTTATTATATTTTATAAGGTAGAGGACACCTTGTCCTATGAGGAGTTAATATGATGTAATTGGAAGCCATATATTGCAGTAGATATGTTAAATGAGGAAGCATAATTCATTTTCTCTCTTTTTTTTTTTTTTGCTCTTCCCAACATCTAAAAGGTTCTGTTGCACAAATGTGATGAGTATATACATTTATAAATTCAGTAGCATTAGATAACATAGGATTAGAGGTTGACAGATCTGAAATTGACCACACCAAGTTATGATTAGGTTGAGTAGATTGAAAATGAAAGAAAATCAGGGGAATAATAAATGTTTTAATCTGTTGTGCAGGAATTTTTTAATTGCTAAAATTGGAATTATGGAATTGAACTATAATAGATAGTTCAATTATTTTGATTTTTTTTAAAAAAAAGATGTATTTTTCATTTTTATTGATGTGTACAACATTCTCTCCAGATATTCTTATTTTAGGAAGGACTTTAGACTATCAGAAAAAGGATCCATGATAAAAGAGAATTGAAGAGGAGCTGCTTAGAATCTGTGTAGTGTAAACTGTTCTAGCTTTACTTTTGACTTCCTTTAGGGCTGGGCATAATTATTTTCTTCTATTCACTTCTGCATACGTACTTAGTCATTTAATTACCAAGAGGATTTATTTCAGGTTTGATTTTTTTTTTTCAGAACATTTGGGTCAGAGAAAAAGCGGAGAAAAACTGTTTCATGGACAGAAGAGAGTGAAAAAAGTCTCATTCCATTGGATGCATTGCTTGACTTGAAATCTTTGCTTTGAAAAGATATTTAGGTATACGTAGTAGAAAAGAATATGTGACAGAAGTCATCTCTATTCCGTCTAAATATTTTGTTAAAAACAAATTTAAAAACCTGACCTGAACTCCATACAGTGTAGACATAGTGAAACAGACATTTGCAGATCTATCAGACTTACTATCCAACCATTATGATATTTACTTAGAAATAAACTATGAGAAGAATGATGTCTATGATGAAATGTGAAAAAGGACTAAGACAACCTTGCTCATGTAATGGTATGTGGGAATGACCTTGGGGTATAGGAGGGACAACTGCAGATTGGATAACCAGTATGTAAAAAGTACCTTGGCCCACAGAAGGAGAAAGGTTGTGGGAAACATTTCAGAAAGGAACCCTACCTAGTAAAAAGGAAAGGAGAGGGAGAAATATTCTCAATCTTGCAAGATTATGTTAATGTGACCTTACAATAAAGATAGAGGTAGTACTCCTAGTTGTGTGTCTTGTCTGGACTACTTCACATAGCTAACAGCTCCCTTGATGTGTCTATCTTGTAAACAAAATATATATCGAGATGAACCCTCCCCCCCAAAATGTGTAATCATAAATTATAATTCCATTTGTAGCCTTTAGAAGAACAACTGTGTTGTTCTGAAAACTTTCTTCCTGAAAATTTAATAGTTTTTAAGGCTCAGCCTCAGCATCTACTAATCAGTTTGCAAACATTTACATGTTTGTTCAAGTATAAATTATTCCTGTCGTAGTCTAAGTTTCACGTAAATGCAGATCCTCAGAGATGAAGTAAAAAGAGCCAGCTTTATGATTCATAGGTACCTGGCAAAAGGGATGTCTTGATCATGTTCTTGAAGCTGAGTAGAGAATCAATCATAATGAGGTACAATAGACATTTATTGTATATAATATACATATTATATACAAGAAGCCAGGAATTTCATCAACTCCAGGATATGCTAAAGCACACTGTCAAGAAACCACAGACAAAAAGGATATGTACTCCTCATCAAGCTATAGGGTTAAACATTCAAAATTAGAGGAAGTTTAGCAAAACTTAAAACTTTAGGAAAACCATATTAGAGTATAAAAGTGGGAAATCTCTTTTGGTCTCAATATTGGGGGGAGGGAGGGGGAATCTAGGCCAAATGGCTATATACAGTTCTAGAGTAGTGTTCTAATGCCATATCCAGTGTGGATATTTATTTTAGGAGGGAACTATCATTCCTGATGTGAGAAACAAAGCTCAGACTAAATTGTTGGAAATAACAAAGTTTTTATTTACAAAGCGTTTGCAGAGGCTGATGGATCTCTGAGCTGCAAGCAAGAGAGAGAGAGACCACACCTCTTACAGATTTCAGCAGTTTAAATACAGTTCTATCCCCGGCTGGCTGGTCCCTCCTCCCCAGGCCCAGTTGATAGGCCTAGTTCAGTCACATGCTAACAGTCTGCCTATGATGTGCCATCACACCTATATGTTTAAAATTAGTTAAGCCCCTGTTGTCACCAAACTTGCTAAGCACCTAGCCCAGTGGTGGGATTCAGCCAGTTTGCACCAGTTCAGCAGAACTGGTAGCTAATTTTTTGTTGCCCAAGCCCAGAATGGACTTCCAGAAGCGGCATCCACACAGAGAACCAGTTGTTCACATATTTGAATCTCACCACTGACCTAGCCCCTTCACTGCTCACCTCTTTGGTATTTTCTTATCAGTTCCCTTGTTTATCTGTACAATACAGTACCTGGTATATGTCTCCAGCCAGAAGTTATGTATGTCATAGCTTAGCAGAGTCCATGCATTGGTTAAACATGACTGTGCTCTGGATATATATATAATAAAGTGGCTATACCTTAAAATACTAACTCTAGGCCACTTGAACAAAGAATAAACCTTATATAAATTGTAAAATATATCATTTGTAAGCTATATGCTAGTCTACGTTAGTGTGCACTATTCCAAAAGTATATTTTTGAGTCAGCGTATAGAATCCATCTCTGTTTCTCCGTCTTACTAAATTTACTACACTCTGGAAATATCTCCTTATCTATAAGTACTGGAGGAATGGAGGAAATATATTTATAGCTTAACATATTGTAATATGATAAACTTGTTTTGTGAGCCAAGGCTGTGTTGCACAAAACCTAATACTGCATTAAATGGTTGATATTATATTCTAATGAATTACTTTTTTTAGCCACAGGGCCAAGTCTTCAGGCTGGCCTCCTTCAGGAACTTGGACCTTGAAACAGGGATCTTCCTATGGTTGGGAAATGATGGCAAACAGAGATGGGAGAAACTACTACATCAGGTAAAGGTTGCCACCAATTTGATGAATTTTGTCCAAAAACTGCTGCAAAGAGCTGAAGCCCCAGCATGAATATGTACTGATCTTCCATTTGCTCCCCAATCAGGTTATCCCATTGGGTCAAAGATTGCATCTACATTAATCTGTTATTTAGACACAGAAGGACACATTTAACATAAACACCAAATATGTATCAAAGTAACACTAATATATCAATGTTATATTTGTTTTACTTTTTAGCCCTGTCTATAATATAGCAGATGTAATTTACATACTACGGTTATTCTTTCATTACAATAAAATAATTGTTTTTTTTATTTGCAGAATATTTCTCCTCTTAGGCTGCCCCTTTTAAAAAAGAATTAACTAAAGTCTTCTGGCATTTTTGCTAAGTATTCAGAAATGACTTCAATGAGGTAGTGGAGATCTTGTTGCATTTGAATATAAAGTAATAGATTAAATGGGGGGGGGGTTGCTGCTGCTTATTTCCAAATAAATGTCCCTGATTTGAAGAACTAGGGTTTAAAAGTTATTGTCTGAAAGAGAGTGAACTGCCAAGGCTCTTTTATTCAACTCTTTAATATAAAACAAATCTCTATTGAAGCACATAGATAAAAGCAGCAGAGAAAATGAGTGAGATGATGTTCAGGATGGAATGAAAGGGAAAATACATGTTACATCATCTCATTTTTAAGACTTCTGTTCTAGAAGACTGCCTGAATGATATGTGTTTCTTTGTTCTTTTGTCCTCTGAGGTTCATCAAAAGCCAAAATATGCCAGTGGATAATCTCAAAAGTCATTTCCCCCCTCCCCAACACTCATGTTCCTGTTCTACAAGAGCAAGTTCTTAGTTCTTGGACAAAATGAGACATAACTAGATGTAACCAATCAGTATCTAAACACAGAGCATAAGAGCATTCCCATATGTAGGCATCATTCTCACTTTTCCTTTCATTAATATTTTTGAAACAATAAGTGACATGTAATCCAAATGTGGAGTGTGTTTTCAGTCTAAAGCAGTGTTTCCTAACCTTGGTAACTTTAACATATATGTACTTCGACTCTCAGAATTCCTTAGCATAGTCAACAAGGTTGGGAAACACTGATCTAGAGCCAGCAACGTGCAGCAACAGCCAAAATACCTAATACAATCCTGGGTTGTATAAACAAAGGCATAGAATCAAGATTACACAAAGTATTAGTATCACTTTATAAAATCCTAGTGAGACCACACCTGGAATACTACAACCAGTTTTGGTCACCATACTACAAAAAAGATGTTGAGACTTTGGAAAACGTTCAGAGAAGAGCAACTAAGATGATTCAAGGCCTGGAGACTAAAACATGAAAAACAACTGCAAGACTTGGGTTTGGCTGGTCTAAAGAAAAGAAGAAATAGGGGTGAGATGATAGCAGTATTCCAGTATTTGAGAGGCTGCCACAAAGAAGAGGGGGTCAAATTATTCTTCAAAGCACCAGAGAGCAGGACAAGAAACAATGGTTGGAAAATGATAAAAGAGAGAAGCAACCTGGAATTATGGAGAAAGTTCCTAACACTGAGGACAATTAACCAGTGGAACAGCTTTCTTTCAGAAATCGTGGGCGCTCCATCACTGGAGGTTTTTAAGAAGAGACTGGACAGTCACTTGTCGGAGATGGTATAGGTTCTCCTGCTTGGACTAGAAGACCTCAGGGTCCCTTCCAGCTCTATTCTGTTCTGTTCCGTTCCGTTCCATTCCAATTCCTTAGTCAGCAGAGTCAACAAGGTTGGGAAACACCAATCTAAAGCATTTTTGTTCATTATCATAATGACTTGAAGTTAATAATGCCATGAATGGAATTTCCTCATGAAATCTAAGGGCATGGAAATCTAAGGAAAAGGCAATTTCCAAATAGTCATAACTTCCTCTTGAAGTCATCAAAAGATCTGCAGTATATGAAGACTTTTAGGATGATACTGGAAGTGCTTTGTTAGAGGTCTGTAAAGCAATTGTATTGATTTTTTTTTAAAATTTTATTAAATGTACATTTAAAAACAGAAGTGGACATGATTCAACTACCCTGGCAACAACACTGCTATTAGTATTACCTTATGTTACAGAAAGAAAAACAGAAACTTAAAATACGTTCTATGTATGTATAACAAACTGTACATATAACATCTGTAAAATTTTTGGTAAACCATCTTTCAGTTGTCAACGTTATATTTACATATGTTTCAGTTGTGTCCCAATATAGGTGTTAGCAAGAAGTCCTTACAATATCAACTAATCAATCGATAATCATCTCAGCGATCCTCCTTATCTCTAACCAATCGTACAAATTTTTCCAAATTTCATAATACTCTGTTTCAGTTTTATTTTTAATCTCTAGAGTTAACCTGTCCATTTTGGCGCAGGATAAGATTTTATTTATTATTTCTTCTTCAGTGGGGGTTTCCTTTCTTTTCCATTTTTGGGCGTATGCCAATCTTGCTGCGGTTAAAATATGCAATAGTAAGTAGAGAGATGCTTTGCTCTAATATCCATATTAGAGATATTCATGCACACCAAATTCATAAATTTAGGAAGAGCAATCACATATAAAGATATCTTAGACGAGAAGGGAGACCTGAAAACAAGGAAAAGATTATTAGAAGATGATATAGAGTTGTAATGGTGGGCATACTTACAAATACAGTCGCGATACAGAAAAGACAAAAAAGAACCAGGGATAAAATTAGAGCATACACAATTAGATAAAATCCTTCTAGGAACAGAAGATCAAATGATAAAAAAGATATATCAATATTTATTAGAACAAGATTTGTTAGAGGAACAGGTAAAAGAAACTTAATCTGGAGTAAAAATTTTGGTTACAGTATTGACCTAGATAATTGGCAATCATTATGGGATAGAAACAGGAGGTAACGCTAGCCACCTCATATAAAGAAAATCTATACAAGATGTTTTATAGATGGCACCTTCCCCCTACAAGGCTAGCAAAAATAGATTAAAAAAACCTCACCGACATGCTGGAAATGTAGAAGGCTTCCAGGGACTTACTATCACATGTGGGAATGTTCAAAAGCGCAAAATTTTTGGCATCAGATTAAAAATTGGCTGGAAGAAATACTATTACAAAAAATTGATTTAAAACCAGAAACCTTCTTATTAGGGATTATTAATTATAAACTCAGCAATTGCCTTGATTTTGAAGTGGCTTAGTTTAATTTTATCACAAGTCTTCTGATATTGTTTGAACATTCTGAAAGTGTGTCAAGCACAGAGCAATTTAGTTTTGAATTTAGTACAGAAATTTTGAACTTGAAAATGGATCATTTCAACTTCAGAAATCATTTGAATGGTTGGAGCAGTTTCAGAAAAGTTTCTAGTAGCTTTTGAACTTATATCAGTTTGAACTTGAAAGGAGCATGTCAATCATATATTAGAAATGTTTTCCATGCTATTACTTAATGTCTGTACAAATCAATCTTTGCTTGAATGGGTGATTTGAGATTTGATATGAGCCAGTAGAGGACTAAATTTTCATTTGTGGAGATTATAAGTGGTCTAAAAATTTTACAGTTACTTTTTTCCTTTTCAAAATGTGCTGAAAATAGAACAGAACAGAATAACAGATTTGGAAGGGACCTTGGAGGTCTTCTAGTCCAATCCCCTACTCAGACAGGAAATTCTATACCATTTCAGACAAACGATTGTCCAATCTCTTTTTAAAAACTTCCTGTGTTAGAGCATTCACAACTTCTGGAGGCAAGTTGTTCCAGTGATTAATTTTTCTAACTCTCAGGAAATTTCTCCTTAGTTCTAGGTTACATCTCTCCTTGATTAGTTTTCATCAATTTATTTCTTGTCCTGCCTTCAGGTCCTTTGGATAATAGCTTGATTCCCTCTACTTTGTGGCAACCCCTTAGATATTGGAACACTGCTATTATGTCATCCCTAGTCCTTTTTTTTATATAAACTGGACATACCCAATTCCAGCAACTGTTCTTTATATGTTTTAGCCTTCAGTACCCTAATCATCTTTGCTGTTCTTCTGTGCACTTTTTCTAGAGTCTCAATGTCTTTTTACATCGTGGCAACCAAAGTTGATGCAGTATTCCAAGTGTGGTCTTACCAAAGCATTATAAAGTGATATTAACACCTCACATGATCTTGATTTTGTCCCTCTATTAATGCAGCCTAGAACTGTGTCGACTTTTTGGGTGGCTGCAGCATACAGCTGGCTTATATTTAAGTGATTGTCCACTAGGACACCAAGATCCCTCTCACAGTTAATACTATTGAGCAAGGTACCACCTATACTATACCTGCGCATTTGGTTTTTCTTGCCTAAATATAGAACTTACTTTTCTCCAGCACTGGAGATGGATAATCCACGCAGTGGGTTGAGACTGTATTCCTGGCCAATCAGATCAGTCAGCCAAAGTTGCCACGCCCCGTCTTGGACCATGATCCTTTAGTCTTGACTGATCTGGCCATGCAGCGACATCTACAACTTTTGGCTCCTGGGCAGGTATAGTTCCTTTCCATTAGGGGGGATTTTTTCTAGTAGCTGAAATTGCTTAGTTTAAAAGTTAATTAGAGATAATTTAATTCAATTTAATTGACCACTCAAAAATTTCCTTGCTAAATTGTAAAACTCAGGAAGTCAGATTCCTACAGGGGAAACCACCCCCACTTAAAAGGGGGAAATCCCTAACTCCCCTCCCTAACCAACCCCAGCCACCTTCCAGCAGCCGGCAGCCGCCTTAAACAAACGGGGAGGCTCGGGCAACCCTTCGCGTTTAAAACAAACAAAAAAAAAAGACAGAAAGGCAAGCAGTTAGCGAGGGAAGCAGAGGACAAAGGGGACGCATGCTGGGAGGGAGATTGATTAAGGGAAACAGCTGGCGTGCGAAGGAGCAGACTTTTCACTCCAGGCTGCTCAGGATTTTTTAAATGAGGCGCCATTGTCTGCACAGCTGGAAGCACGCGCAGCTCTTTGTTACAACCGCACG